TTGCTCCATTCCCAGCATGCTCTACCTGGACAATCCGCCACCGGGCTCTTCAGCTCCTATATAACCTCGACAAAATGTTTCCCATCATCTTGGCCTAATTTCATGCAATCCGCACTGCTTGTATATTTCTTCCCCCTGTAAATGCCTTTGGAACCTCTACAATGTTGCGGCATACTCCCCATGCCCAAGCTCTATAAATGCGGTCTAAAACCTCTTGACACCCACACCCTAAACCCAAACCCTTAAGCCTAAGCATTCGGTTTTCAAGCCTAAGCTTTAAAGCCTAAACCGCAGAGTCTACTAAGCTTCGGAAGCCTAGACTTCAAAGCCTAATGCTGATGTCCTTTCTAATTGCTAGGTGCTCTAGTAGTACTATGTTTTCCCTTTTTATTTTGGTGTCTCCTTATTCAAACAGAACATTAGGAAAAAGGGAACCCGTATTGTGAAAGGGTTACTGGGGAACCTAGATAAGAAGCGCAAATTTGGGTAGTAGTTTCCTTTTCCATCCCCAGACGCAAGCCTAAACACCTCTTGGGGGTGTCGGTTCATCCGTACAAATCCCATAAACCCCACATCAACCCAGTTTCCATCTCATGTATCATTTTCTGCTCCACGTTCTTGTCCATTAATGGGAATTATTTTGGGGGTATTAGACCCTAAGCGCGAAGCGCTGAACCTTAGAGGGTTTTTTATTAGAAAAGAGGATGGCTCAGGTGAAGTCTATGCCCGAGTTGTGAGCTGCCTCAAGGAAGTTGGCTACAACGTCGCTGCCTTGAGTTTAGGGTTCAAGGCTCAGGGTTAGGGGTTTAGTGCTTAGGGTGTAAGGCTTAGGGTTTAGGGTTTGGGACTGAAAGCATAAGGCTTGATCGAGGAAATCCATGCAGCTCTTACAGTACCTAAGCTGCTGCAGTTCCAAGGACGTGCGGTACTTAGGATAGTGCAGGATTTCCTCCATCAATAGTAGAGGTTGGGGCTGGGCAGCACGTGCTTTCAATATCTTTCAATTATTGTGTGGGTGAGTGGGTAAAGGGTTCCTTATCAACATTGGCAGAGTATCCTTGCGTGCTCGTGTGGGAGTGCATAGATAGACATACTGCTATATGCGAGATTTCACCGCTTCCCAGGGTTCTGCCCCGGGCGCAGCTGATTGAGGAGGCATTGCGCAGAAGTGGTACTCTTAATGTAGTCTTTAAGGAAGTTGCTGTCCAGAGCATTGCGGTTTGGGGCATGTAGATGCCTCTGCCCAAGTTTCTTCGCATCAGCGAGAATCCTACACAGCGGCTCTACGCGATACTGCAGATGGATAGCGTAGAAGAGAAAATCATGGCCAATGTTACGGTCCTCGGTTCCTCGCGTGTTTATGGTACATCTCAACGAGACCTCAAGAGGATATTGGATCACCTTTTGTGACCCTATAATCCCTATGTAACCCCTATAATCCCTGTAGTTTCCATTTTCTTTTCCATTATCCTATACCCTACGTAAACCCTAAACCCTAAACCCTAAACCCTAAACCCTATTACCTTACGTCGCTGCGGCATGCCTCTGCAACCGTCCGAGCTCTGAAGTCCAACCCTTGGACTTTCCTGAGCCAAAATTTAGGGTTTAGGGTTTAGGACCTCAAAGCCTCAGACAATGACCCCTAAGATCCCCAAAAACTGCTAACTGCTGCGGTTTGGCTCACCTATCCAAGTCTTGATTCTCTAAACTCTTGGTCTGGAAAGGTACGCAAGTCTTTGCACGAGCTACGTCAAGTCTTTCGACTTCAGCAGTCCACCCTGAAACTGACGCCATCAACTCTATACCACTACACCATAAACCCCAAAATCGCACAAGGTGCAGACTGCGCAGCTGAATGCAGAGGGCTGGGTGCCGCAGAAGCGAGCCAGGCTTTACTTTGTGGGCATCAGGCGCGAGCTTCTTACAAGAGGGGCGAACGCAGTTCAGGGTTTAGGGCTTAGGCAATGTTTGTACGTCTAGGTTTTGGAGCCTAGCTTTCCAAAATTTGTGCCCAGGGACTCTATGAATCTTTGGGCAGTACCACTATTGGGCCCTGCTACAGGGATTTTACACCCTAGATTTACAATTCAGTTTCCGAAAAAAAGGGGCCCCGGGACATGGATCCCAATCTGCTATATTGCAGTGCTATCCCCCCCACGAGTACACTCCCCAGATGTAGAATCCTATTCGGCCCTTTAACCGTATAGTCCGTATTAGTTCCTTTATCCCTGGTGGGTTACCTTAGTACCTTTGCTATCTTTGGGGGGGACGCCCTCCAAGCCCTAAACCCTCAACCCACCTAAACCCCAAACCCTAAATCCTAAACCCCTTAAACCCCTCACCACTTTTTCATGGCGGGACCATGGAAACAGGTTCGGGTAGGTCAATTTATATGGAGCAGTCCTGAGCCCCATACAGAACCCCCAAACACAAGACTTATTTAGGTTTTAGGTTTAGGGTTCAGGGTTAGGGCTTAGTATAGGTTTTAGAGTTGATAAGGGTTTAGGGATTTGCACAAGACTCCTACTGTTTGCAGAGTTTAGGACTATGGTGTACGGCTAGTCTAGGGTTTGACACAAGACTTCTATGGTTTTTAGGGCCTAAGGGCTTAGTAATTAACACAAGAATCCTACTGCTTTCAGGTGTTGTTAGGATTCAGGACTTAGGGTTGACGGTTTAGGGAGTAGTATGCTGTAATATCATCATCATAGTTCCCAAGGTATAAGGTACTCAGGGCCATACAGGAGTTTTAGTATCCACGGTACATCCTATGCCTCTGGTACCGCTAAAGCCTATAGGCCCCACCTGGGTACAGTCCCCCTCAAGTAGATGAAATCTGGAGTATAATATGGTGATCTTACTATGATTTTGAGAAATGCCATATTCTATCTACTGAAGGGGGCCTATAGCTAAACAACCTTTGTAGATTAGGGTCCTTAACCGTCTAAGCCGTAAGTCCTAAACCCGAAACCCCGAAACCTTACGCCCCAAACCCCAAACCCCTTCAGGAACGACTTGGCAGAGGCGAAGGCGCGGTTTTCGTGGCCTTCTCCTCCAGACGGTTGCAAGCTCAAGGACTAGGGCTTAGGGTTTAAGCTTTGGGGTTCAGGGTTTAGGGTGGGCAAGTCAGCTCAAATGTGCCATAATCGCACAATGCTACATTTAGGTATGTAGGGTCCTGCAGGTTTTGTCCATCAACCATAGGGGTGTATCATGCTTAGAAATTGTTCTGTGTCTTTTGGGACGTAGGTGTGGCAAACCTTGAGGAAAACTACGCACATGACCGGAAGGCCGGAGAGTTTTTCAACACCTGAGGGATGGAGAGGATTCATCTGATAAGCCCCAAGTGTTAAGCAGGTAATCCCTCGTAACCTCTTGTAATGCTTGCTATACATAACACTTGTGCTTTCATATTATATTTGCCTAAGTATAGGGATCCATGGGCCAGAGTTTGGCCTGATGCGCCAGGAGGTTAGGATTAGGGTAGGGTTCAGGGCTCAGGGCTTAGGATTTAGAGCTTGGGGTTTATAGGGTTTAGGGATGGGGCTAGGACGAGGGTAGGCTTGGCTTCCGAAAACGAGAGGGCTGCTAATCTTATCATGCTGCGCAAGACATTCGCAAATTCAGCTAACTCTCATCGACCCAATTGACCTGGTTTACATGAGGCTACCTTTCAGGACCTAGTCGTGCCGCATATTGAATACGAGGCGTATCAATCTCTTCGATAATTCGGCACATGCAAAATCTTTACCCCAAAGCATGTTATAGACAATTACAGCTTCTCCTCTGGGGGCTGCTACCTTAATCCTAACCCCGCACACTAACACATCTCTGGCCCCCAACCCTGTCACATCTCGACTCTTGCCTTAACCGCAGTCCTAGCCTGCACCTAACCCATCTGCGCGAAGGACGTGTTGGAGCCTCCGAACAGCGCCGAGGCCCTCGGCTGCGAGTTGTCGGAGACGCAATGGGCAGCAACTAGGCAGCTGAAAAGGGCAAGCCAGGGGTCTGGGCCTCACTGAGCAAAGCAAATGAGGTCGAGGGTCTACGGATTCGGGTCTCGTTGTCCAAGTCTAGGTGTGTAAGCACATACCCCAATTTTAATTCCCCAAGTTTCGTCATTGCTATAACTGGGTTACAGGTGCGATGTTATGGTTGCTTGCTAAGCTCTTGAACCTTCTAGCTTCTAGTCTGGAAACCCCCAAACCCTCGACTGCTTGTCCCTTGTGGGGATTCGTATAACACCTGTGATGTCTTGCATGTATTTAAAAGGTACCCTAGCTTGAGAATTCCCAAAACCTGTTGTTTACAAAGCGGTTCAGAATCCTAAACCCCACGCCCAAGACATCTGAAGAACACGATAACGGGTTTTAATGACATGTAGGTTACCATTTCCCGTAAACCTCAAAGAGGGAAACCTTAAATCCCAAATGTCAAACCCCAAATCCTCAGCCCAAAGCGTTAAATTTTAGACCCGAAGCATTGGATAAGATAGGATCCCAACATACTCTAACTAACCTCCAAGAACGCAAATAAGGGATTCCCCAACGCTATGTTAGAGACCCTAGAACTATGACATTCTTATGGTAGGGTCCTAACTTGAGGGGGTTTCATTTTCTATTTGATTTTCCATTGTCTCTAAACTCCAAACCCTAAGCCGTAAACCCTAAACCCTGAACTCTAGGCCCTAAGCCCTAAACCTGAAGCACCCATAGCTCTCGTGTGACAGTATTCAACCCCCAAGAAGGCTGCGCAGAACAAACCCTAACCCCTCAACTGAATGCACTTAAATCCCAAACTCAAATCCCTGGATACGGTAGGATCCCTAGATAGTATTATTACTATTCCCTAAACTAAACCCTAAAATACCCTAAGCCCTAGTATTCTTCATATTCAACCTCCAACCACTATGGGCTATTAGACCTTAAGGATAACTTAATCTCCCCTTAATAGGGTCCTCATAGGGAATTTTAGGGTCTGATAGCCCATAGTGGAACAAGGCTGTGCAGAAGAGCTCCACCTGGGTTCGGGGAGGAGCTCCGCTCCGCTTCGCAAAGCTCCAGGGCGTGGCCGGGACACTGACGGTTTCCGGGCTACTGAACGGAGGGGTTACAGTGTGTTAGGGTTTAGGGTTTAGGGCTTAGGGTATAGGAGGGTCCATGTACCCAATCATTAGGTACTTGGGTTTTGGGTAATAGTAATTGTAATTAGGTTCTGGGCAAGTATGTGATTATCAGCTACTTGGACCCTTCGGGTTATAGGGGCTAGATGAGCTATAGTCTAGACTCCTTAAAGGGGCTACTATAGGAGATAGTGCAGGGGAGCTTTATAGGGGTTAGTAAGGAGGATACTGGAAGCTTAGACTACAGCTCATATGGGGGATATATGTGGTGCCTATGTAGGGATAGACAGGGCTTAGGGGCTATCTCATATGATTCCCACGGAGTCGATGGTAACCCAACCCTAAGCCCTAAACCCTAAACCCTACATCCTCGATCCTAAATCCTAAGCCCTCTTAGCGGTTTTGGTGGGAGAACCAGCAAGTCTTCCAGTGTTCTTTGGGCTTATTGCCTTTTTAAGGGTGTATGGCTTCAGGTTGGACTTCTCTTTCGTTTTTTTGGGGGTTCAGGATCTCGTGCGCGGGATGTAGGGATTTGGGGTTCAGGGGTTTTACTTGTACTTGCGTTGTTGGGTTTTGAGCTGCTTCGCGCTTCTCTTTTTGGGTTGACAATTGGAGTTTCCCAAAATTAGGGGTACCATTTGGGGGGTCCCAAGAAGGACTATATAATATATTGGGGCCTATATTGGGGTCCCCCTATTTTGGGAAACTACCAATTTTAGGTACAGACCAGGGTTTTTCAGGCCCAGGATTTAGGGGCCTTGGGCTGGCAAAGCTTTAGGGTGTGAGGCTTGAGCTCCTCATGTTCGTGGTAGCGGGGTCTCAGTGTCACTATTAAGATTTATAGTCCCCCTTAAGTAGATAGAATATGGGGTATATGGAGATCTTATCATAATATACCCAAAGCCATATTCTATCTACTTAAGGGGGGCTATATGCTTGTTTCGTTATCTTTTGGGATGTTACCCTTTTCGGGCTTTAGACTAGGTACCCCAGTAGTGCTCCTTTTCCTTTTTATTTTGGGGTCTCCTTCCTAAAGCTGAACATTAGGAAAACGGGTAGGCTGGTATTAGGAGTTAGTGGTGAACCTAGTAGAGCATTGTGGTAGTGATGCATGCCTTGCCTGTTGGTTCTTCCCGGTCCCCTGTTCGTGACCATAGTCATCACAAGAGGCTTCCTCATACGCTTGCAATCATCATCTTCACTACTCTTGCCATTTGCCGACGTTTCAGCCTGCTGATATACCCTCAAAACCTGAACCCTAAACCCCTAAACCCAAAACCCTAAGCTCAACACTACAACTCCCTCGTAATGACTCCAAAATGCGATTCAACCATGTCAAGAAATCTACGCATCATGACTTCACCTTGACAACGTGGCCCTACCCAGGGGGTGCCAAACCAGATAGTCAGAAATAATTGTTTAGGGCTTTTAGGGTTTAGGGTTTAGAGTTTAGGGTTTTGGGTTAAGGGATTTCTGAAATCACACAATAACTTCTGTGCGCAGTAAGACGCACGTCTGCATCTGCATCCCGTGTACTGTAGTCTCCCTAGCAATCATTTTTCATTTTAATTATTGTATAGCCCTCAGGAACTATTCAGATACTATTTTTGTTATAAGCCTAGAGGGATTACAGCAAGCGAAGTAAACTTTCAAACCTAAATCCTAAATCCTAAGCCCTAAATCCTAAGCCCTAAATCCTAAACCCTTCCTCAACCCTAAATCCTAAACCCTCAAACCCTAGAACCCTAAACCCTAAATCCTAAACCGCGTGTTGCGCTCGCGACAAGGCTAGCTACAAGTCCTCCTACGCTTGCACGGCCGAGCTGGTGAGTGCAGAGGACGCGAGTCTCGCCCGCCCGCGCTTCTACACCAGGCGCTGGATTTAGGGTATTGGGTTTAGGGGGTGATGTAGCCGTTATATAGGGGTTATCTAGGGGTTATATAGGGGTTATGTAGGGGTTATGTAGGGGTTATGTAGGGGTAGTTATCACTATTCCCCCTACATAATCCTAGAAAGTGGGTCTTGTAATCCCCTTGCTTTAAGTCATTGTACATAGCTGAGGTCCCGAATGCATGGTCCCTGAAGCACCAGTGTTTTGAGAAGCTACCTTGTACACGGGAGAGACTGGGATCTGTTTATGGAAATCTGTGCAAGTACTCCCCTACCCGAAGTATATGAACTTAATAATTACCCCCTAGGGCGAAAATGTGCATCTGGTAGCGAGTGGTGAATTTCTCCCGGCTTACATGGGAACCACCATGATCTCTTTAATCATGGTCGTCCAGCGCTAGGACATGAAGCAAGCTGCTAGTTCTCACTGACTTCCTGCAAGTTCTTGTAGACAATCTGTTTACGCAAGCTTCTTGGAAACGACGAGACTGTAGAATACCAAGGAAAATCCGTAATTCCAATCCACTGGGATTCTATACGCGAATTCCTTGTTATTAGAAATTCAAAACTAGGAAGCTATGGGCCGGAAGTAAAGAAATCAAAGTTCTGATTACCTTCCCTTTTATGCCTGTTAAAGAACGTTTGCCATAAAGCCTCACGAAATCAATCATGTCCTAGTTCACCTGGGAAACCCATGTTCCCTTACCATCAGACTGCTAGGGCCCACTCCTGCTCTTCAGGCGAGAGTTTGCCCGCTTGATGGGCTTCCCTGAGTACCTGGACACGGTGTAGAAGAGTTTTACTTGGTGTTTGGTAGTATAGGGTTTGTGTTTAAGGTTGAGGGAGTGGAATGGAAAACAAACATGGAAAACAATTATTGTCATTATGGACGACGACGACGACCACCACCCGCCACCGCCGCCGCCGCCGCCA